CTCTTCTCAGAGAACTTGCAGCCATCTCTGCCTCTGAGGTAAGCCACCCAGTGGCCCAGGCCACAAAGACAGACATCATGTAAATGGGTGATGTCACTTCCTGTCTGTGCCCGGGGATGCTGAGATGGAAGGTACCCAGGGCTGGATGTCCCTGAAGTGAAAAACCCCCACTTCAGCCCAGAGGGCTTTGGATTGGCTAACAAGGCCATGCCGATTATTCTATTGTTATTATTCATCTCCATCCTGCAGCCTAGAAAGAATGTTCTGGAGAGCCTTCAGAGCATAGGAAATGCTGTTTTTCTCAACACACAGGAGTATAAGAACAGGGGAGGACTCAGAGCCTCCAGGCTTTGGGAAGGAATCACAGAAAAGGCTTTTGGGACACTATACCAGCAGTCTCCAAATTTTTTGTCCCAGGGACTGGTTTCATGGAAAACAATGTTTCCTTGGACCAGGGGTGGGGGATGTGAAAAGAGGGAAAGATCATTTCAGGATGAAACTGTCACATCTCAGCTCATCAGACATTAATTAGATTATCATAAGGAGCGCACAACCTAGATCCCTTTCATGCACAGTTCACAGTAGGGTTTGTGCTTCTATGAGAATCTAATGCCACCGCTGATCTGACAGGAGGCGAGGCTCAGGCTGGAATGCTCGCTTGCCAGCCACTCATATCCTACTGTGCCGCCTGGTGCCTAACAGGCTCAGGACAGGTAGCTGACCACAGCCCCGGGAGCTTGGGGCCCCCTGCAATAGACCAAATACTACATGAGGCGAACTTTTTAGGGTTCTGGAACATTTTGAATTTCCATTGCCTATAATGGTTTTACCACCTACCCACACATATACATCTTGTTGCCATATAGTGGGTGTCCGCAGCCATAAGCAATGTTGTAGAGGGACCAGTCCCCTCACGGACACTTAGGGGCCACAGGTATTACCGATCAGCGTGTGTGGTTCTGTAGGGAGATAACACCGAGCACAGTCCTCATCTTACCCACTCCTCCAGTGGGGTCCGGGCAGCACCCCTCATAAAAATTATCGCTATTTCCACAGGAAGAGGAAATCACACTCTCGGAAAGTGGACTAAATGCATTATGATTTCCAGTGGTTTTCGTTTTCTTTCCTTTTTTTTTTTTTCCGGAGACAGTCTCCTACTGTCGCCCAGGCTGGAGTGCAGTGGCGCCATCTCGGCTCGCTGCAACACGATTCTCCTGCCTCAGCCTCCCAAGTAGCTGGAATTACACGGACGCACCACCACCTCCAGTTAATTTTTGTATTTTTTTAGTAGAGATGGGATTTCACCATGTTGGCCAGGGTGGTCTCGAACTCCTGATCTCAGGTAATCTGCCCACCTTGGCCTTTGACGTGCTGGGATTACAAGTGTGAGCCACCGTGCCTGGTTCTTTTTTGAATGTATCGAAGAGTTCAACTGTGAGGCCATTTGGTCCTGGGCTCCTCTTTGTTGGGAGGTTCTTCAGTCCTTTTATTCGTTATTGGTCGTTCAGGCTTTTGGTTTCTTCTTGATTCGATCCTGGTAGGTTGTATGTTTCTAAGAATTTATCCATTTACTCTAGGTTATCCAGTTTAATGGTATAGAGCTGTTAATAATAGTTTCTTATTGTCTTTTTACTTGTGAGGTTTCTGTTTTAATGCCTCCACTTTCATTTCAGATGTTATTTATTTGAGTCTTCTCTATTTTTTTCTTAGTTAGTTTAGCCAAGTGTTTGTTAATTTTACATTTTCCAGAAAAACAGCTTGGATGTTAGAGGCCTACATTGGATCACCACTGGAGGCCAGTAGTTCCCAATCAGCCTGGGAAGAATAGTAAGACTTGTCTCGCCTAAAAAGAGAAACAGAAAGAGAAAGCGAAAGAAAAAGGAAAAGGAAAAGAAAAAAAACAAAAAACAAAAAACCAACAACTCAGTTTTATTTTTCTGTAGTATTTCTATTCTTCAGTTGATTGACTTCTGCATTGAATTTTGTTTCCTTTCTTCAGTGAACTTTGGATTTATTTTGTTGGGTTTTTCCTGGTTTCTTGAGGTGTAATGTTTATTTGAAGTCTTTCTTTTTTTTTAATGTATGCATTTATGGTTACAAACTTGACTCTTAGAGCTGTTTTTGCTGTTTCCAAAGATTTAGTTATGTTCGTTTTCACTTTTGTTTGCCTCAAAATATTTTCAACTTTTCCTTTTGATTTGTTCTTTGATCAATCATTTGTTCAGAGGCATGTTGTTTAATTTCCATGTATTTTTGAATTTTCCAGTTTTCCTTGTGTAGTTAATTTTTAGTTTCATACCATTGTGGTCAGAAAAGATAACTGATCAGATTGGAATCATTATTAATTTATCTAAGATGTACTTTTCATTATTTTAATTGATGTATTATAGTTGTACACATTTTGGGGATACACGTGATATTTTGATAAACATATACAATTTGTAACTATCAAATCAGTGTAAGTAGGATATCTATCACCTCAAAAGTTTATCTTTTCTTTATGTTGGGAATATTCCAGTTCTTCTCTTCTATTTATTTTAAAATATACAATAAGTTATTTTGAATTATATTCTCCCTAATACACTATCAAATACTAGAACTTATTCCTTCTATTTAACTATATTTTATATGCATTAACCAATATATTTTCTTCCTTCTCCCCTATCTCCTTCACAGTCTCTTATAAAAGCTAATTTTTATATATGATATGACACATGAATGCAATTTTTTCCACTTGTTTATTTTTTATATGGTTACAAATATGTCACATCCATTGCTTAAAAAGAAAATCCTCAATCATTTGTTGAAATATTATGCATTTTTAAATACATTGTTTTTTCAAGATTTTCAAAAATCTGTTCTCAATATATATATTGGTTTATATTTGGACTCTATTTTCTTTTGATCCATTTAATTGATCACATGCCAAAGCATTCTGTTGTGGCCACTACAACTCTATGATTGTTCTTTAAATTAGGTGGAGCTAGCCCTCCAATTTTGCTCTTCGTTATACAGGCATTTTGGTTATGCCAGTTCATGCTAATTTTAGAATCAGCTGACCATTTTCTACCAACGATGCATGCTGAAATTTTGAGTCGGACTGCATTGAATTCATAGATCAAATTAGGGGAAATGAACATCTCAACAATATTCTTACACATGAACAAACAATGTATTTCCAGTTTTTAGGCCTGCACTATGTTCTCTGTGAAATATGCTCTAATTTTCAGTCATATTTATATTTATGGATTTTATACACTTGACATTATTGTAAATGGTATTCCTTTTACATTTAAATTCTGCTGTGCAATTGCATAAAATACAATTTATTTTTGCATATTGATCTTATATCCTGCTAGAAACAAATGCTTTTCGGATTCAGGTTTGATTGGCCAATGGCAATATCTTAGGAAACTTGCATATTTACCAGGTATGAAGAATCTTTCTCATTTCAGTTGGAGCTTTATCACCAGCCCAAGGGAGAGGAAAGTCCTAACCCATATCAAGTTCTGAGGTTGGGAAGAGTTTGTACTTTGCAGACAAATGCATGTGAAATGTTCTGTATGTTCACCAGTAAGTTTTCCTTAAGGTTACTCATGCAGTTGATAAGGCTGCCCATTTGCACTTGTGTTTAGCTGCAATGCTATAGTTGTAAAATTTAGAAGCCAACGTTCTCCCTTAGTTTAAAATGTAATATTCAAGAATCTACTCCAGCATTATGTAGTGCCAGAAACATTGGGATGATAATGCAATGATATGTCCAGCAAATATGAGTTTGTACCTGATCCTTATTAGTCTTACTTCTGATGTGATCTACTATAAAATGAGACCACTGAGAGCTTTAAAATAATTAATAATGCCAAGCTGAGGCGGTTAGTTCGTGGGATATTCAGTAGCCATAGGAAACAGTAGTTCCTACTCTGTAACTCAAGTGGGAGTCCACTCTTCAGTATGTCAGCATCAAGACCCTGATCTGCAGTGGAATTTGCAGCCCCCTGCTGTGTCAACTTCATTACTTCAAGGGAGGGTGAAAGCCTTCAGTTCCTTAAGTCACAGCTGACACATGGAGCACATTTGGTACCTCTTCAGTTACTGACCTTTATGCCCAATCATGTCAGGCTTGCTCACCTGAGAGATTCACAAGATCACATTCCCAATGCATCGGATCACTGTGTCTCACACACACACACACACACACACACACACACAAAAGCATTTATTTGTCATTATGTATCTCTCCTGAATTTCCACCTTGATAGGCAACATGGCTCACAAACAGCTTTAAATTTGGTTTCTCCAATGTCTGTCTAATGGTTTACAAAAGTCCAGTTGTTCAAATGAATTTATCTTACAGTCTGGTTGTCTATTGTTCCATGCTGTGCCTCTGTGACATAAACCAAGAGTCGATATATAAAAAGATTTCTTTCCACTGGTTTATAACCAACCAATAAATAGTATGCGTCTTATATATAGTTCTGTGCATTGGGTTGCCAGTCTCCTTCCTTCTTCTACCTGATTTTTGTTGCAAGTGGAGATGATGTAATGTTATGGGTCACTTCTATTAGCATCCTATCCTTGAACTACAGTTCTACCATCTATTTTTAAAACTGTTTTACCTTGTTATTATAAGATCTGCATATTTGTGAGCATCATTTATGTTATTAATAGTTAACCTCTGTGGTAGTCACTTCTTTGGTTAGGTCAGAGACCAAAATCTGAAAATTAGAAATTCATTCTTTATTTCAGGTGTGTGCGTGCTGTTGCGTTGATCCCTCTCATCTCTCAGAAAAGTCATTGTAGGCCCAAGTCGATGAAGGGACAGACTGTGAAAGAATGGATGCGGAGCATGGACTAACTATGTAGTGCCCACTGAATCGAAAATGTTGCTAAAATTGCTTTTCTGCGATTGTCTAACATTCCTCTGAGTCACCTCGTCTGCTGCTTAAAAACCCAAAAGCATTTTCTTCACTGTCTTGTGGCCATTGTTATAAACTCCACTCTGCTCTTCCTATGTCAACTACCACAGTCTGTTTCATTGCATGGCCCTAAAGGCAGAGCCATGTTTCCAACTTTAAGTGCACTAAGGGTATCCTGTTTCTGCAAAACCAATGGATGTTAATGGTTCTCTTAGGGTTTTGGTTTTTTGGGGTTTTTTTGTTTTTTGGTTTTTTTGACATGTAAGTCCACAATTGAAGTAATGTGAAAAATATTTTTTCCTCCAGAAGTTATTAGATGCTGTTATATACAATATTTTTTCTGTCAGTACACTATAATGTATCCCAGCTATGCATTTTATATTTCCTAAAACTTCACTTCTGAGAAGGCCCTTCATGTGTTTGTAAAAATTCATGGCCCACCCAGCAGCATTACTAAGTCTTTTGGAGTCTGGCCTCATGGTCTTTCTGTTGATTATCCTGCTGTCAACATGTAATCTGTGAAATGAAACAAAGGGAGGGATCCAGGCTGAGACTTGGTAACATTCAATTATGACAGTCAGCAGTCAGACACTATGTGCAGAGATCCTCCAGATCCTGTTTGACCAGCATCTCTAGGAGGTTAAGAGCCCAGCCTGTCAGAACCACTATTCATTATTATCGACCCTTTCACCAGAATGCACCTGTGGGTGTCAGCTACTGATTTTCTCATCTCCAGGCACCTCATGCTGAGCTGGGAGCAGAAATCTCAAGCTCTTGTCACTAAGGACTCTTCTGGGCTTCCTCTGTATCACCCACCGTAACTAGCATAACGCTTTACCCACAGGGGCTCAGCAGATGCATTTGTTGAGCTCAACAAATTGAGAATCCAAGTTGTCTCGATAAGCAGAGATGTTATAGTGTAGAGAACTGGATAGGGTAAGCAGAGGAACAAAACAGGTTGTCATTTTGTTGTTGCTGTTGTTGTTTCTAAGAGTATAAAAATTGTGACTGGCAACTGCCGAGGAATCCTAAGGCAGGACTCTAGTCCCTGACCCCCCCTACATTCTCACTACATTCATGGAAGCTGCTTTACTCCTTTCCACCTTAGTTATTTAATCTATAACTAGAGGATAAAATACACAATTTCTAAATGCTAGTACTATAACTGATACACAGTTTATTTTGGACACAGGTGAATCTTGAAGTCTGCAAAGCATTTCAATTACCAGTCAGAGGCCTGGCACAGTGGCTCATGCCTGTAATCCCAGTAGTTTGGGAGGCTGAGATGGGTGGATCACCTGAGGTCAGGAGTTCAAAACCAGCCTGGCCAACCAGTGAAACTCCATCTCTACTGAAAATACAGAAAATTAGCCAGGCGTGGTGGCATGCACCTGTAATCCCAGCTACTCAGGAGGCTGAGACGAGAGAATCACTTTAACCCAGAGGCAGAGGTTGCAGTGAGCTGAGATCATGCCATTGCCCTCCAGCCTGGGCAAAAAGAGCGAAACTCTCTCTCAAAAAAATATATATATATAAAAAGAATATGTATATATAATATATTATATAGAAATATTCAGATATTAATGTCTCCCCAAAATATAATATATTTCTATATAATCACATATGCATATATTACATACAGTATATAATATTATATTATATAGTATACATATATTATGAATATGGAAGATAATAATTGATCGAAACGTATAGATAATATTATTATATTTATATTTATATCCATTATTATATTATAAATATATGTTATAATATAATCATATATATATCTATAATATATTTATTTAATATTTTTTTTTTTGAGACAGAGTTTCGCTCTTTTTGCCCAGGCTGAGTCATATGCGCATGATCTCGGCTTCACTGCAGCCCTCTGCAGACAGAAGATACGATCACCCTGGTGATTACTATGTGAAGGATAATTTTAGAATACTTGTTAAACTCACCTCTTTCTTTTCACAGCTGGCCAGGACATAGTCAGTATCTACTGATACCTTGAATACCTTGGCTGTGTTAACTGTTTTGAGCCAACATGGAGCCAAGGTGTTGGTTGTACCTTGAGATGCTGACATCTGGCTGAAGTCCAGGGTCACTGGCCCAGGACAGGTCATTCAGCTATTTGAAAAAAACAGAAGCGAGACCAGGTCATCCACTGCGGTCATCTCCATGCAGCATGGGCCACTGGTTCCAATGAACCCACCATCACTATACTTCTGAGGAATCGCTGGTCACTAGACTGAGAGTTCTGTGACAGCTGAGATCATGTCTTACTGATCTCTGTGTTCGTGGTGCCCAGCTCAGGGTCTGGCACTGAGGGAGTTCTCAGGAGAGTGTTCATCAGTTATTGAATAAAACCGATTGCAAACCTCCTCTCACCTGCATTCCTGTCCCAAATGTCCTGTCAGGGGTGCTGAGATTTCTCCCAGGATGTGGCAAATCCCTTTCCTTAGACTGGCCCTTACCTTACACCATTCATGCCCCAGGATCCCTCTCTGTGGGACATTGGAGGAAAATGAGTCTGTTCTGAAAAAGTCCTCTTATGGTTCCCCCTGTCATTAGGAGCAATGTCTGCACCTAAACTCCCATTCTCTGAGTTGCCACAACTCCCCAATGTGGGGGAACTTCCATGTTTTCTTTTTTCTTTTTCTTTTTTCTTTTCTTTTCTTTCTTTTTTTTTTTTGAAATGGAGTCTTGCTCTGTAGCCCATGATGGAGTACAGTGGCACAATTTCGGCTCACTGCAAGCTCCGCCTCCTGAGTTCACGCCACTCTCTTGCCTCATCCTTCCAAGTAGCTGGGACTACAGGCGCCCGCCACCACCCCAGGCTAATTTTTTGTATTTTTTAGTAGAGACGGGGTTTCACCGTGTTAGCCAGGATGGTCTCGATCTCCTGACCGCATCCGTGATCTGCCTCACCTATGGCCTCCCAAAATGCTGGACTAGACAGTGTGAAGCCACCACCCCAGCCTCCATAGTTTTCTTAAAATTGTTTTTGTTGTCTTTCTTAATCATGGGCTTGAAGTGTCTAATTCTGGGAGAGACCATTGAATATCTGAATCTCAAGTAAATTTAACACAGTGATAAGAAAAGTAACACCACAATCAAATATTTATGAGAGATTACCCATTTGGCATAACCCTCCTTCACTGTAAGTACAGAAGATATCATAAGTACTCACTTGCATTTTATACTAGCAAGGGGACCACTACACCTGGCACCATAAACTTATGCAGAGCATTGTAATGCTAAGAATCGGATGTCTCCAACCCTCTTCCCAAATGGTTCATTCCCTCTACCCACACTAGAACCTGAAGAGGCATCACACTTAGCTTACGACAGCCGCCAAGGTCGACGCTCCGGCTGGGCGGCAGGCTACATGGTCGACCAATCTCCACCCTCCTTGGAGTTGCTGCTGCCCCTCACTATAAACCAGCTCTGATCCACCCTGTGGCTCTCCCTGGCCAGGGGCAGGAGACTCCTGTGGAGTAAGTTTCTCTCAGTCCCACTGCTCAGCTCGCGCTGCTCCTTGAGGGTTTGGATGATGACAGGCATTGCCCATTTCCCCTGAGGCTTCTGTCCCAATTTGTCCTATTCCCCCCTTCTTTGGTTTTCATTTACCAATGGCTTGTCCTTTGTGGGTTGTTCTCATCCCCTAAACCTGCTGACTTTCTTTCTTTCATCTGTTCCCTCAGTTCTGGGCTTCCAGGGTGTGGACTCAGCTCAGGCTCCTGCAGGAGACACAGAGTCAGGTCTCAGTTGCAGGTCCTGGGCAGCGTTAAAAACCATCTCAGTTCCTCAGAGAAAACACAGCAGGAAGGGACCTCTAGAAAGACTAAGACTCTCCCAGGCTCCGTCACCACATGGTGGCAGCAGATCGACCAACAAGCCTCGGCCTCAGCCTCCCTGTCCAAAGCACCTAACTCACCCTCCAGGAACTCACTGCTGCGTTTCCGAAAACTTTGGATCAAAAATAGCAATTTCCACTGTGAAAACAGGGAAAGTAAAAGGGTGTTTCCTTTGACAAACACTTTATCACGGTTCTGTAGTCCTAGTATTTATACTCAGTCAGTTGTCATTCGCTGGCTGGTAGATTGGGGCAGGGAGGACATAAAGACTAAATAGCACTTAACACAAGTCTGCTTTCCCAGTCTGGGATCTCAGCTCCACCATTCTTCAGGGAGTTTCCTCTGCTGTAACTGCTGGAGAGTCTCAGCCCTCACGTGGGTCATTTCTCTATGACGATACCTGTTATTTTCTTCCTCTCTTGGAGATAAGAGAGGGCAGAGATTGGTTCTGCATCTCCACAATTCTAGGTTTTCTCTTAAACCAGCCAGGTCAGCTGAAAACAATCATGACAGAGAGGTCAGGTCAGTGAAGAGGGTCCCAGGGGAGCGGGGGTTCCAAGGACAGCCCTCATGGAGATGGTCAGGATCGTGCCACAGGCAACATTTGACTAATTCTGCTGGGGATGATGTGCCAAGGATTAAGGGGAGGATGCTGCCATAAGAAGAAAGGGGAAGAACCAAAGGAGTAGGAGAAGAAGGAATTAAAATGATTTATATAAAGATAGAAAGAAATGCAGAGCCCAGAGGCAAAGCCCGTGTAATAGAGGTTAGTTCCAGGTTGTGGATCCTAACCAAGAAATTCCTGCTGGACTTTGCTCAGCCTCATTTCAAAAAGATTTTGGATCAGTAACTTCTTTGTTATTTCCACTTTCTCCGTTTGTGAACAAGAATCATTAGAATCGTTTTTCTATGTCCGTCCCACCATTGCACATTGAGGGCAGATAAGCTGTTTGTTCAGTTCAGTTTCACAGGTTGATCGAGGGAAGGGAATTATGTCAAGGATCTGTACTTAATGGACACCCTCAGAAGTCTCATTCACACTTGGTGTAGATGATTAAGATAAGATTTTAAACTTTTGATTTGGTGCGGTCTACGTAACATTTTTCACTTTGAACTAATGCTTTAATGACATGAAATTTGGAAACCTTAGGGGAGAGGGTGAATGTATTTTGCAGATGGGGGAATGTGAGTGTCTGATTGTGGTAGATGTAATTTCTAAAATGGTCCCCAAACATGCCATACCCTTATGTCTGAAGCCTGTTAAGGTGAGGAGACATCATTCCTGTGATTATGTTGTTACATGCCAGTTATATGACTTTAAGATGATGAGATTCCCTGTGTAAACTGGATCTAATCACATCATTGCATACATGCCAGTGGTTTCTCTAGCTGTCAGGAGAAGGTGACGTCAGGAAGAATGGGAGGTGACGTCAGGAAGAATGATGTCAGGAAGAATGACGTCAGGAAGAAGGACTCCATGAGCTGTTATTGGTTGGAAAATTGAAGAGGCCAGGTGAGAAGGAATGCAGGTGGCCTCTGGAGTCAGAGTGTTTCCTGCCTGACAGCCAGCACAGAAAAAGAAAACCCAGTCTTTCAACCCCCCAAAAATGTATTCCTCCTATATCTGAAGTGAACTTGGAGAAGTATCCTGAGCTCCACATAATTACATAGCCTGGATTCAGCTTCCTAAAACCCTTATCATGGAACCCAGCCTCTGTTCCAGACTTCTGTGGTTTCGATCCATTAGTTTGTTGCATGTGCTAATAGGCAGCAATAGAAAACTAGTACAGATGCCTATCTCTACTCTTGATTTATTATTTCAGATACATGGATGCTAACCACTCTAAGGGGGGGAAAAAAAAAAGCAAAGAACTACAGCAAAAATCTTGCATTCACCTTTATGTCACTATCCTGGAGCCCTTGTAACCTGAAGAAGACAATGACAGGCATTCCAAGCACGTGAGGAGTATCTCTAATGTTACCAGCCAAATTTCTGAAAGAATAAAGATGGTACAATACTAACTCCACATAATCTTATGTGCAAATTTACCATCTATCTCTATTTCTTATAGCAGATTTTTTGTTGTTGTTGTTCCTTCATTTAGGCTTGCCAGACCAGGTTTGGTAGCAACTATCAGTTATCAATAAAAATGAAACAATTCACGAAGAGCAATGAAAAGGACTATTATTAAGTTCCTCAAAACAGTCCCTAAAATGCTAAAAGTAAGACAATTAGTCACTATAAAAAATCCCAATCTAAGAAAAGTTGAAATTTAATGATGTCGGTTTTCCAAATTTTATTTTGTTGGGGCCCAGTCATGGGCACCAGAGATTACGAAATGACTGTGCAGAGGCTTGAGGGAATTTGGGGAAATGACAAAAATATTCTAAAATGTGACTCTGCTGATAGCTGCACAATTCAACAAACCTCGTTAAATGATTTCATCGTAGATTTAAAATTAGTAAGTTTTATTACAAGTAACTTTTATTTATTTTTTATTTTTGACAGTTTCACTCTGTCACCCAAGCTGGAGTGCAATGGCATGACCTAGGCTCACTGCAACCTCTGCCTCCTGGGTTGAAGTGATTCTCCTGCCTCAGCCTCCTGAGTAGCTGGGATTACAGGCACGTGCTACCAAGCTTGGCTAATTTTTGTATTTTTAGTAGAGACGGGGTTTCACCATGCTGGTCAGGCTGGTCTCGAACTCCTGACCCTGTGATCCACCTACCTCAACCTCCCAAAATGCTGGGATTACAGGCGTGAGCCACCACGCCTGGCCACAAGTAACTTTTTAAATGAAATTTCCGTTTTCAACTCTGACATATAAAGAGGTAGAAAGTCACCATTTGTCCTCACAACAAGAAAAAAGCTGAACAAACTGAAAACCAACAACTCTTCTCAGATGGCCAGAGAATTGAGGTCACTGCCATTCTGAAAACTAGAAAGACAGGCAAACACAAGGAGTCACAGCTTGCCAGAAACAGAAGCTGCTGGAGCCAGCACCTGGGAGGAGCACTTAAATGGTATTGACAGATATACTAGAAGCTGAGGGTGGCCTGGCTTGAGCACTAAAAACTCTCTGAGAACCAGCCATGTGGGGATATCACACTTTCCTAAGTCTGACCACTACAACCCAACAAGGTTCCTATGGTGAAGATCAGAAAAAATCCCCGAGGATTGGCTCTACCAACTTCAAGACATATTGTAAAGCTACAGTAACCAAAACAGTGTGGAGTTGGTGAAAAAAGGTAAAATAAACTCATAGATCAATGGAAAAGAAAACAGAGCCCAGAAATAGACCTACATAAATATAATAAACTGATCTTTGATAAAGGCACAAAGGCAATTTAACAGAGCGAGGATGGCCTTTCCAACAAATGCTGCTAGAACACCTGGACACCCACATGAAAAAATAAATAAATATACACACAGATCTTATAACTTTCACAAATGGATCTTATAACTATATGCAAGGTTCAAAACCACAGACTCCTAGGAGATAACACGGGAGAAAAGCCAGGTGACCTTGGGTTTAGTGATGATTTCTTAGAAACAACCTTAAAAGCACAATCCATGAAAGAAACAAAATTGAAAAGTTGAGCTTCATTACAGTTAAAACCTTCTGCTCTGTGAAAGACTCTATTAAGAGAATGAAAAAACAAGTCACAGACTGAGAGAAAATATTTGCAAAATACAGATCTGATGAAGGACTGGTGTCCAAAATAAATGAAGAACTCTTCAAACTCAATAATATGAAAGTGAACAACCCAATTTAAAAGTAGACAAAAAGATCTGAACACCTCACCAAAAAGATATACAGATAGCAAATAAGTATATGAAAGAGATACTCAAAGTCATTTATCATTAGAAAATTGCATATGAAAACAATGAGATGACAGAACCCACCTGTTAGAGTGGCTAAAATCTGTAAAAAGTGATAATTCTGAAAGCTGTCAAACAAACAGAGCTACAGGAACTCTCATTCATTGTTGGTGGAAATGCAAAATGGTACAACCACTTTGGAAAATAGTTTGGGAGGTTTTTTTTATTTTTTATTTTTTCACATAGTCTTACCATATAATCTTGCAATGGCAATTTGACTTATTTAGCCAAATGAGAGGAAAGCTTGTGTTCACCCGAAAACCTGCACACAAGTATTTACAGCACTTTTATTTATTATTGTCAAAAACTGGAAGTAACCAAGATGTTCTTCTCAACAAGTGAATGGATAAACAAATTGTGGTGTATCCACACAATGGAATATTAGTCAGTGATGAAAAGAAATGAGCTATCAAGACATGAAAAGACATAAAGGAACATTCAATTCATAACGCTTGAAGGAAGCCAGTCTGAAAACCTACATACTATATAATTCCAACTGTAGGACATTCTGAGAAAGTAAAAAAGACAGAGATAGTAAAATGATCAATGATTGCCAAGAGTGAAGGAGGGAAAGGAGGGAGAGAGGAAGGAAGGGAGGGAACTTAGATGAAAACTAGAATACCTGGGAATGGGCTTAAACCATCAATCATTTCCATTAATGGCCACATGCTAACGAATTATAGCACAGAGATAGCATACTGTAACATCAAATACAGTCAGCATGGGGTGAGAAGGTGCTCCCCAGCCTCTCCATTCTCCTCTGAAGACACATTCTCCTCTGAAGAAAGCAGATATTTAATCTTGCCTTTGGGTAAGAGTCACATTAATGAGTTGGGGCACCCGACTCCAGATTACACGAGGCCACGACCTTCCCTGCTCCGCCTTGCCTACTTCAGAGGCTGCCCCACTGCAGGTGGGGGCCTCAGCCCCAGGTCTGATGTTGTGCATTTGCTTTCTCACTGGGCTTCTTCCTTGCACTGACTTCCACTCCCCCACAGCCCAGTGAGTGGCCACGTGGGAAAGACACAAACTGGTCATGCCCCTTTCTCTCTGACACCTCTTGATGCCTGCAGAGGTGAGCTCCAGACCCACTCTATGAGTGGTGACTTGAGACTTCCTCACAATGATGACACTGTCCAAGAGCAGGGCCTGGCACTTAATAGCCACACCACGAAAGCTCAGTGACAGAAGGCATCCACCACAAGGTCCTGGAGGATGAAGAATTCCACGGTGGTCCATAATGTTTTAGTCCCAAAAGATCCCAGGTCAGGAGATGTGAAAGGCTTTTGAAAGTGGCCATTCTTTTAAACCATTATACTGGCAGCTGCACCATGTTTCCCCATCCTGGACACTCTGGAGGGCACTGTCTACAGCCATATCCATCTCCCCACCCAGGACAGTGCAGCAGCATTAGTTTGGGGGATGCCAATGGGCAGGGAAGGGGTGAACCATGAAAGCTGAACAGGAGAAAGCAGGTGGAAGTGGGGCAGCAGGGTGGAAACAGAGAGAGAAAATAAAGGTGGGGTAGAGAATGGGGGGCTTCGAGGGGAAAAAGAGAGAGAGAGAGAAGCAGATCTAGCCACAAAGGAAGGAAAAATCCAGAAGAGAACATTTGTCTGCTAAAGTAAAATAACTTACACCTAACCAGGTGCAAGGGCACTGCAGGTCGTGGATGGCATGCCCTGGTCATGCTGTGATGTTTAGGGGCCATGACATCTACCCTTTGAATCCGAATCATAATAGAGGGGACTCTGTCCCTATCTAGCTGGCAATGCCTTGTGATTTTCCCTTTTGGATCTGGCAGCTCTCCACATCTGCTCACTTTGTGGGAGGCAGCTCTTGGCACACCAGATCAGGACGATTCAAAAACCAGAGCCTTGGAGACTTCACTGGGAACCCTGGGCAATAGTAGCTGGTGGCATCCAGAGGGTAGAGTCCAAGAGGTAGCAGCGCTGAGGCTCCACACACCCTCAGGAGGACTGTAAGGGGCAATCTGTTGGTGAGCGCCTACTTCCCCAGGAACCTCCGCCTAGGTGGAAATGGGCCCCACACCTAGCTTTTCTCTGGACAGGCCCTAGCCAGGCATCCAGGGTACTGGCTGAGTCCTGGGCAATGCAAATTCCTGTGTGCTGACCTTGCGGCGGCTGGAAGGAAGCACCATGATCTTTCCACTTGGAACTGGACTTGCAAAAACAATGGCTCCTGCTGTTTTCAATTTCCTTGGACTTTGGCAATCAGATGTAGCCTTTTGGAATGGGAAGATGACTTTTTTTTTTTTTTTTTTTTTGAGACGCAATCTCGCTCTGTCACCCAGGCTGGAGCGCAGTGACTGGATCTCAACTCCGTTCACTGCAAGTTCTGCCTCCTGGGTTCAAGCCATTCTCCTGCCTCAGCCTCCCCAGTAGCTGGGACTACAGGCACCTGCCACCACGCCCAGCTAATTATTTGTGTATTTTTTTTAGTAGAGACGGGGTTTCACCGTGTTAGCCAGGATGGTCTAGATCTCCTGACCTTGTGATCCGCCTGCCTCGCCCTCCCAAAATGCTTGGATTACAGGCGTGAGCCACAGCGCCAGGCGGGGAATGTGACTCTTGGATCTGTAGGTTCTCCCCAGGCCTTAAGTACTGGCTGACTTTCATCATCTCGGTTGGTGTCACCACACTCACACTCCCAGCAAAGATCCCCCAAAGTGTCCTGACTAGGAACATATTCCTCAACTTCCTCTCAGATCGTGGTAGTCCATTCTTCTGTTAGTATAGGCTGCGTGTGGGAGGCTGGTGGTGGGTAGGGTGGGAGCCTACAGAAGGAAGAGGAATGGTAGCCAAGAAGGAACAGAGAAGGAAGGGGAGGCAGGAAGTGTGGAGAGCTGGAGGGAGCTGGGGAAAATGGGTGTGGGGGTAGTGTGAGGAAGACAGGGACCAGGAGAGAGGGGATTGGAAACAGAATGAGTGGAGGAGGAGAAAGAGGAGGAGAAGAAGGCAGAATAAGAAGAGTGGAAATTCCAGCATATCCCAAATCTTGTTCCGGAAATGGTCATCAGTGCTCCATGGATAAAGGGAAAAGGAGAGTTGCAAAGAAAAAGAAAGAAACCCCAGCAGGTAGAAGGTCTTGGCAGAATGTTTATTTCAGGGCAGGAAACTCTGGCAACCCAGGCAGAACTGGTGGCTTTAGTGGAGACCTAAATATAGTTCTTCCCTGACCCTAATCCCCAAAGGTGCTTAATCTCATTCTCTGAGATAGAAACCTAAAGAGAAGGGCAGAGAGAGGTAAGTCTGGGGCAACTCCTCCTACTGTAGATTAAAGGTACTCAAGTCCCATGTGACAAAGAGAAAAAAAACACCTGCAAAGGAAATTCTGGTGACTATGGAAGCTGAGAATTCACTCGCCAAATGTCAATAACACAATATTCTCAACAGCTGGTTCCATGGGGTAATGGTGAGCACTCTGGACTCTGAATTAAGTAAATCCCAGTTCAAATCTTGGTGGGACCTTGTTGTTTACTGGACTTCTACTCTGGCCAGAAGCCACTCTGGGAAGCAAACTCCCGCCTCAAAGACAAAGTGAAAGGGATGTGGTTTACGTTTGCCCTTGTACCAAGTCCTGGGTTAGAGAAGAGGCAGGAAGGTTTGGGTCACAGCAAAGCAAGTTCTGCTGTTGATAGTCCCCTCGTCCCTCCCGCTCCAGCCACGAAATGCGTCCCCTGCGATGTCCCTCCTCCTCTCCCGTCCCCTCCTCAGGGGTCCGGGTCTCAGAAACTGGTTTCTCACAGTGGCCTGGACCACAGAGAAACATCCAATCGGAGTCACCAATCCTGGTCCCAGTCCTGGGCGAGCCTCCTGGCCGCCTGCAATCGGAGGCCTGGACCCCGCAGCCAGCACCCTAGCAACCGAACAAGTCCCCACCCCCTCTCAGGGAGACCCTGGGCCTCGGGGTGAAGGGTCTTCTCCACTAAAAAGGCTGCCGCCACTCAATCCTAGACCCCAAGATTCCTTTCACCTGGGAAATCTCGTAATGGCACCCATTGTCTTTTTGGTAAGTAAACGGTGGCATGAGAAATTCTGATGGGGTTAGCTCAGTCATTGGAGATTTTATCTCAGTTTAGGGTCGATGGTTCGAGACTTAACTTAGGAATAACACTATTTTATTCAGATGGCCCATCCTATTCCTAATGTTAATTTATACTGTTCTTCATATTCAGATTTCCAAGCCGAAATTCTAGATCCTACGTCTCTATTGCGGGCCCTAAAAGTCGCTGTTTCACTAAGCTTTGGAACCTGACTCCGGGAAATCTCATTCTTTCCTCCCAAAGATTTCAGCCGAAAAGAGAAATCGGCGAGGCAGCCTCTTCAAGCGCCGGGGCTGGGAGCGCGGGTTCTGATCCTCGGTCGCCGGGCGGGACTCCCGCAGGGCCACGGGTAAGAGGTGCCTGAGCAGCTCCAAGGGATAAGTGCGGGACGGTAGGGGCTCCCCCTCGCCCAGCCAGGACCTTGCCCCAAGGAGAGATGCTTTAGGACGTGACAGATGCAAAAATCTTTTCTTCTGCTTGGCAGAACACTGTGGATGTGGCTCATGGTGGGTCTTGAGAGCAAGCTAAGATGTCCCTCCAGGCGCTCAGGACCATCGCCCTGATTTTCATATTGTGCAAATATGAAAATTTTCAGCGGTTACGAAGGACTGAAAAACCCCGCAGTCTTTGAAGGGCTCAGTTTGGAGGGCGTGCAGAGGTGTGGGGGTGGGGGATGGGAAAGAGGTGCCTTGTTGGCTCCTTGGAGTGAACTGGCAGGAAGGAAAACAAACAAATTCCATTTCCCCTTCCAAGCTGGACTGCAGGGCCTGGGATGGAAAATTGAACAGTCAAAGAGTACCAATATGTAGAGGTTGGCTGCATGCATTGAAAATTGTTATCCCTCATGCCTATAATCCCAGCATTTTGGGAGGCCGAGGTGGGCGGATCACGAGGTCGGGAGATGGAGATCATCTTGGCCAATATGGTGAAACCCGGTTTCTACTAAAATACAAAAATTAGCCAGGCGTCTTGGCGCATGCCTGTAACCCCAGCTACTCAGGAGGCTGAGACAGGGGAATCGCTTGAACCCGGGAGGCAGAGGTTGCAGTGAGCTTAAGCTGAGATCGCACCACTGCACTCCAGCCTGGCACGGAGCAAAGGCCTGTCTAAAGAAAGAAAGGAAAAAAGAAAAGAAAGAGGGGGAGGGAGAGTAGGAAGGGAGGGGAGGAGGGAGGGAGGACGGGAGGGAGAGGGAGGGAAGGGAAGAAAATTGTTATCCCTAGAGAGAAGTGTAGCGGGGACCAGGACACTGCTGTTGTTGCTGTTCAACATCAGCTTTGGAGCATATGTAACTTTGATAACCATGTATAATGCATAAAAAATCATTCCTGTTTACAACCAATTATTACAACTAGCTACAGATTTCTTTGTTTCTTCTCCACTCCCACTGCTTCACTTGACTAAACTTAAAGGAAAAAAAATTTATTTTTACATATGATATTGTTCAAGTTGATCCTCAGCCCGCCCTCCTCAAGTATCTGGGACCACAGGTGTACAACACAGTGTCCAGCTAATTTTGTATGTTTTGTAGAGACAATGGTTTTGCCATGTTGGCCAGGCTGGTCTTGAACTCCTGGACTCAAGTGATCTGCCTGCCTGGGCCTCCCAAAGTGCTGGGATTTTGTGCTGGCCTCCATGCCCAGCCATAATTTGTATTTTGAATTTAAGTATTTTATAGTCATAAGTATTACTCTTCAAAGATTCTGGGTTTTATAGCATGTACATGGTGGGGTTCAGGACACACTACTCCAAAATATAACAATTCGGGGTATTGAATATTTTATGCTAAAGGAATTTGAGAAAACAACAGAAGCAGGAAGGTCACTGTCACTCTCCCCATGCCCTTCTTTCCTGAAGCTGATCATAAGGTTCTCATGTGAGAGGTGCCCACTCTGTACCCAGAGGAAATGTGCATTGTTGTGTCTGAAAACACAGCAACACAGAGTCTGAACATACAGGCCTGGCTACGTTTCCCCCAGTTTATTACCATTAGATCATACTCCTTTCATCGTATCACACTTCTCTATAGCTATCCAGTATTCATCAAACCTACCATTAAAAAAATAAAATAATAAAAAAAAAAACTTGAAGTTTAGCTATTTCTTCAGGCCTTCATTTCCTTAGCAAGGCTCTTCTGTCATGTAAAACTTACATTAAATAACTAGATATGCTCTCTTCTCTTGTTAGTCTGTCTTTTGCTGTAAGGTTCTCAGCAGTGAACCTAGGCTGGGTTAGGAAAAGCCATATTTCCTCCCTTACATGTGCAAATGTCTTCTACTGTAAAATGATAAAAATTTTATTGGGGCAGGTTTGAAGCAAGAAATTGAATCATCGTTCCCCTTTGGATGAGCTGAATAGACGAGCTAATGAACTCCCAGTTCCTCCCAGATAGAAATACTTCTCTAGTTCATTTCCTGAAGCTCCTAGAGGGTCAAACCTGCTGGAGATTGAGGGGCCTTCCTGGAACCTCCCAGCTCAGGAGGTTACTGCTGGTGAGAGGATTGCTGCAGTCTCCCTGGGAGGGTGCACCGCCACTGGAAAGTATCACTGCTGCAACTTCAATACAACAAATTTTCATCACATCAGCTCTTTTTGTTTGTTTTTTGGAGATGGAGTCTCACTCTATCACCCAGGCTGGAATGCAATGGCACAATTGCAGCTCCCTGCAACCTCTGCCTCCCGGGTTCAAGTGATTCTTCTGCCTCAGCCTACCGAGTAACGGGGATTACAGGTGCACTGCCATGCCTGGCTACTTTTTGTATTTTTAGTAGAGACAGAGTTTCTCCATGATGGCCAAGCTAGTCTCGAATTCCTGTCCTCAGGTGCTCTGCCCACCTCGACCTCCCAAAGTGCTGGGATTATAGGCATGAGCCCCCGCACCTGGCCACATCTGCTCTTTGTGCAGTGTTGCAGGCAAAATACAAGAGCTAACATGCAAATAAGTAACATATGCACATCATCAACTCTGCCTGATATGCCAAGGGCCACATGTCAGGCACAGTCAATGAGTGCACATGATTACTTATTTAGTCCTTACCACAGGCCAAGGTCACACCATCATATTCATCTTCAGTATGAGAAAACTAAGATGCAGAGATTTTAAGTTACCTGCCCAGGGTCACTCTGGGCAGATTTCTTTCACTATCATACTATTCCTATGTCAGGTTTTTCTCACTGTCATAATTTTTGCAAGGGCACTTTTGTTAGGAGAAATACATACACAGTGGTTCTGAGAACATCTTCTGGAGCCAGGCTGCTTTCACTTCAAATTCCTGCTTTCAAATCCTTGTTCCCTGGCTAAGTGACCCTGAGCACTGCATCTTGCTTCTAACCTCCAAGCTTCCGTCGTCCATTCCTGGACATAGGCCAGGCTAAATACCAGAGTTTAGTCCCAAGTCTGAGTCTGAAACAAAGATGATACACCTTCCCAAGACAAACCTCTTCCTTTCTTCGTTTCTTGGGGATCAGACCTCCTTAGCAAAGTTAACGAATTAGACAGGAGATTGGAAATTATGGCTCAGGAGCCATGAAGCCAGAAGCCACAAGATTCCTAAGCTCCCCAGTTGTGCCTATAGATAACATCATTACTGTCAAACCTAAGATTGGTGTTCAAGGTATTTTTCAGACCCTGCCTTATGCCTTATGATGGACTAGCTGGCACACCCAGACTGGTAAACTGGCTCATCTGGTCCTGTGGCCCCCACTCAGGGACTGACTCAGTGCAGGAAGATAAGCTATGACTCCCTGTGATTTTCATCCCCAACCCAACCAATCAGCTTTCCCCATTCCCTAGCCCCCTGCCCACCAAACTATCCAAAAAAAAAAAAAAAAAAGTACCCTCTGAATTTGGGGGGAGACAGATTTGAGTAACAATAAACCTCTGTCCTGGTCACTTAGCTGTCTCTGTATTTATTAGATTCTTTCTCTATTGCAGAAAGCTTGCTGTTCTCAGCTCCACTGGCTTTTCTGGGCAACCAGCAAGACAAACTCACTAGTTACATTAATAAAAGAGAAACACAAATAGCACATATGCTTGAAAAGAAACTAAGTCTGTATATTTCTTTTGAAGAAACACAAAAGGAGGAGGAATGATATGACAGGCAGTACACTGTTCCAAATATTTTCATGATTCTCCTGCCTCCCCCATATCCTTCTTATCCCAACAACTGCTCCCCAGAAACCTTCAGCTTAAACACAGTCCTGCAAGAACTGGGTTTGTCCTTTCCTTGCATTTTCCTCTCACCTGCCCTACACCCCTTCCAAATTGTTTCTTTCAATTCCAGGTCATTGAGTTTTTCCATTTAAAAACATAAAAGATACAGAAAGAAGAAGATAATGAGTCATCCATATTCCCACCACCTGGAATTAAGTACTGTTCATATATGTACATATTTTTTCTTCCAAATCATTTTAAAGTTACTCTCATTTTTAAAAAAATATATACATGCTTAGCATAGACCATACCAGCAATACATAAAAAGTACAGATATGTAAAATTTCTGATCATCCTAAGTTCAAAATAACTTTTGTTAACATCGGGGCAACACTGATAGAGTCATATTCTTCTGGTATATCTACAGAGAGAAGAATAAATATTTTAACTAGACTGTCCCCCGTCTCACGCCCCCAGAAAAGAAAAAAACAGAACAATAAAGATATATATATGAACTATATGTTATATATACATATATATGGGAGCTATATATTTTATATATACACATGTATATATGTATATGCTTTTGTAAAATTGAGCTTAGGCTCTATTTTTATTTTACAAATATTCCATTTAATAGTGCATGAATTTAACTGAAGACAAAGAGACAGAAACAGAAATGAAGGAATTCCTGAACTCTCAATCACATTTAGAGAGACACTTTTCTAAACGAATCCTCTAAAGCTAAACATAGATTAAATCAAGTAGAATGCATTATGCTTTGCAGTGGGTTTTTTTGTTTTGTTTTGTTTTGTTGTTTTTGAGACGGAGTTTTTTTTTCTTTTTTTTTACTCTGTTGCCCAGGCTGGAGTGCAGTGGCTCGATCTCGGCTCACTGCAACCTCCACCTCCCGGATTCAAGTGATTCTCCTGCCTCAGCCTCTCAAGTGGCTGGGACTACAGATGGGCTAATTTTTGTATTTTTACTAGAGATGGGGTTTCACTATGTTGGCCAGGATGGTCTCCATCCCTTGACCTTGTGATCCGCCTGCCTTGGCCTCCCAAAGTGCTGGGATTACAGACTTCAGTCACAGTGCTCAGCCTTTTTCTTTCTTTCTTTCTTTTTTTTTTAAGAGCAGCATCACTTGCTCTGTCACCCAGGTTGGAGTGTAGTGGCACGATCTCAGCTCACTGCAACCTCCACCTCCCGGGTTCAAGAGATTCTCCTGCCTCAGCCTCCTGAGTAGCTGGGATTACAGGCGCCCGCCATGTTGGCCCAGCTGGTTTCAAACTCCTGACCTCAGGTGATTCGCCTCCCTCAGCCTAGCAGCCTTATGTACAAAAAAGGAAGAGCTATGCAACCCTCGCGCTAGTTAGCTTGTGGTAAACGTGATCACAAGGGCTTCATAACTCTCCAGCAAGAAGGACAGCGACATGTTACTTCATAATGAAGCAATAAAAGCCAAAACCACCCCTTCGCATAGATTCTGCTTTTTACAATACAAGAAAAATCAGGGGAAAGCGCGAACGCAGTCCCCCACTACCACAAATTATGCAGTCGAGTTTCCCACATTTGGGGAAATCGCAGGGGTCAGCACATCCGGAGTGCAATGGAGAAGCCTCGCCCTGGGAAAACCACCTTCGTGATCATGGTATCTCCCCTGCCAGGTAAGTATGAATTTACATGCCTCCACCCTGCCAGCAAGCCCATAGCGCCTTCACCCTTTACAAGCACGGTCAACTTGCACGCGCCAGCCAGCGGCCCCCCGGCTGGGCGCCCCCTCGCCCCCACCATGCCATCCCGAGTCCTCCTAGCCCTGACACACAGCTGGGACAATGACGTCCAGCCGGCGGTCCTGGACTTGCTCCCACAGCACAAGAAATCCTTCGTGGCGAAGCAGCAGCCCCTGCGCTGCCTCATCTACATAGGAATCGCCCTATCCGTGATGTCACCGACAGCGCCTTTCCCGGTCCCCGTCTGCTCTTCTGCCCCACCCTCTGCCACTCAGCCGACCAACCCGCTGTCGGAGCCGGCTGAGGAAATGACGCCTGCCTCTATCTCCTCCCCCTCCCTTCCCCGCCCCTGGTCTCTCCCAAAGAAGTAGGTTCTTAGCCTGTGATGCCAAGGACCCCTTTGGCCGCCAGCTGGAGCCTGTGCTCTCTTCTTCAAATAATGGCTTTTAATGCGCAAACTAGAAAGTTTAGGATTACACAGAAAACCGGTTCTTTTGACAAACGTTTATCCTTGTGATACAGCATTCCGCTTGACGTTGGAAGTCGTTCAATATCAGAGAGAAACTGTATCTATGAAACTAGAGAGGCTGCTCAGATGACTGCAAACCAGCCATCCTTATTTGTTTTATCACTAGGAGTGTTATAAAGATGGTTGTCCAGTTTCATGAATCTTGTAGGGTTTTTTCAAATACAGCAATGTACAAAAATGTGCAGCCCCAGCAGAGCACACTGGACTCAGGCATGGTGCTGGAGTCGTTTTGTCATCTCTTCCACTGCCTTCTCTAGACCTTAGCGCTTACCCCATGTTAACACTTTATACTCTGCAAAGACAGAAACAAAGTCATCCAAATTTGGCAAAAATATTTGGGGGAAATTTTATTTCAGGTGTTTAACTGATTACTTGTAATATGTAGACTACAGCACCAAACTCTGACAATACTCCACAGACTTATTAATGGTTTCCACCCCCGTCTCTGCAAATTTATCAGGCAAGTTTTTCCTGCCCTTTACTTTCCTATAAACTGAGTCATTCAGTGTGTAGTGGGTGTTGGGGGTAGTGTTACTGCCCAACAGGTACACCTTGCCTGCTGCTTAGACAGAGCCAATTTTTTGACACAGGGGAATTGCAATAAAGGGCTGCACTCTTTATTTGGTGGATGGGGGCTGGTGAGTTGGGAGTTCTGATTGGTCAGGTCGGAGATGAAATCACAGGGAGCTGAAGCTGTCCTCTTGTGCTGGGTCATTCCTGCGTGGGGGCCACAAGACCAGATGAGCCACGTTATCAGTCTAGCTGATGCCACCCGATCCACTAAGTGCAGGGTCGGCAAAATATCTCAAGCACTCATCTTAGGTTATTCAATAATGACGTGATCTCCAGGAACAATTTGGGGAGGTTTAGAATCTTGCAGCCAGAGGCTAACGTGACTCCTAAACCATAATTTCTAATCTCTTGGCTAATTTGTTAGTCCTGCAAAGGCAGTCTAGTCCCCAGGCAGGAAGGGGGTTTGCTTTGGGAAAGGGATATTGTCATCTTTGTTTCACAGCTAAACCGTAAACTAATTTCCTCCCAAAGTTATTTCGGCCTTTGCCAGGGAATGAACAAGGACAACTTGGATGTTAGAAACAAGATGGCATCAGGTCAGATCTCTTTCGCTGTGATAATTGTCCCAGTTGTAATTTTTGCAAAGGCCGTTTCAGAAGCAGGGGCATAGGTTTGACTTCTGTCACTCAGTCTTATGTCTATGAATTTTTCATGTTATTCATATGGTTGTTTCTATGTGTATTTCTTTGTATGAATACACATTAATTTATTTATTTATTCTACTGTTGTTGAACATGTTGACCTAAAAGAAGGAGGCTGAAGCACAAAATATAATTTAGAGTTTACTTGAGCCAACATGAAGACAGCTGCCTGGAAGACTCAC